GTTGCTTTGAGGAAAATATTTGGTTTCGTTTGATTATTTCTTATTGTTTATTTATGTGCTCTAACAATTGATCCGATCTGCCGGATCCTGATCCATTCGTTATGGCAACAAAACGGTCAACAACAAAACGATTGGAAAAACTTGAGGCTAATCAAGTCGAGATGAAGGAGACCATGAAAGCGACTAACATCCATATTGCAGAGATCATGACAAATCTTACTGAATTCTCGAAAGGGATTTTGAAACCCTTTAGATCGCAGTAATCGACGACAACCACTATGCAAAGGATAGCGCGACGGCGGAGGGTGGCACACCGCCGTCCCCGGCAGCCTTGCCACTGCAACCAACAGTGATGCCCCCATCCGTTGTGCCACTATAGCGGGAGATTGACTCTCGATTGCACACGGACCCTATGCAACTTCCATACTCTAATGGTTTAGATCTGATATGATGGTTGGCCCGCACCAATCAACAGTTTGAAATTCATAACACCAGTCCAAAGATGAAAGTGCCTGCACCAGTGGTGGCTATGGAAGACGCTGCATTATACTGGTCAACTTGGTTACGCTCTCGAAAACTGAGGTTAACATGAGAAGAATTGTCGCAAACGCTGGTAGTGAGATTCAATATGCGTTTCAAGGGGAGTTCCTTCGAACGATTGGTAGATATTAAATAGGAAAGATCAATGGACGCTTATGAGACACTATTTTTTCAACTAGCTAGCCACACTACCTCGAGTACTTTAAAGGATTCAACTAGCTAGCCATACTATTCGTTTTCTTAGACCTGAGGACCTCGAAACAAACATGTAATTGGCTAGTGATATTGAAGATAATATCCAAGTGCAGGCTGGCGGCCGCCTATACCAAAGTTTCAACAATCAGGCACTGCGCGTAAACTTTATGCCTCGACCAAATCCTTTAAACACGAACACATTTAGAAAGGGAGCCTCACTGCATCCACGAGTTGTATTTCCAAGCCTTTTAATCGAGACCTACCAGCACGGCTGATGATAACCAACCAATTGACGAGCCATGCCCGATTTACTCACCTATCATCCCAAGATTTGGCCAATATGAGGGCAAAATGGTTGTGCTTTCACTGCAAGAAACCATATTCACCGTGGCATGAATGTCCTCTTAAACAGCTACGTGTCATGATTGTTGAGGAAGGAGAAGAGGTTTTGGACCTCCAACAGTATGAGGACTATGAACCCACTGGACATGAAGAGTGGTCGGAAAAATTAACAGACGCTATGACAGAATAGGGTACTTTACCGGTTTTCTCCATGGCGGGTTTATCAAGTCCACGGACTATGCGCCTACTCAGGGTTATGCAAGGAAAGATATTAACAACATTGATCGATAGTGGTTCTATTCATAACTTTATATGATTTTCCTTAGTATCCGCCTTGTGACTATAACCCAACCGTACAGGAATATTTAGAGTTTAGTTGGGGAATGGGCGGAGGCAGGAATCTGCAGGAGTGTACCGGGGTATTACGGTCTCCTTATTTTGGTGTGAGGTAACAACCAATTGTTTTGTATTTCCACTTAGAAGGGTTGATATTATCTTGGGCATAACTTAGTTGGCCATGTTGGGTGAAGTTCGAACCAACTAGGAAGTCTTATTGATGTCGTTTGAGTGGAAGGGAAACCAAGTGTTGTTGAAGGGTGACCCTGCTCTCTGTTGAAACCCAATAAGCTTGAAGATGTTAAGTCGAGTTCATAGCACTAAATTTTGGATGATTATGTCGAAGAACGAGCCTGCAATAGTCATAGAATCAAAAGCGGGACAGCTCAAGGATATCCTGTACCAATTATGGAGATATTTGAGGAGCCATAAGGTTTGCCACCGAGATGGCTAATTGACCATCGCATAGAGCTAACTCCCGAAATGAAGCTAGTATTGGTTCGACCATACTGATACAACCATATTCAAAAACAAGAGATTGAGAAATTGATGGACGATATGCTAATGGACTTATTCGACCGAGCTCGAGCCCTTTCTCCAACCCAATTTTACTAGTGGAGAAAAAAGACGGATGTTGATGCTGAGAACTAATTAAGATGACAATTCCAGATAAATATCCCATACCAGTAATTCAAAAGATATTGGATGAATTGGCAGGAGTGATCATTTTCTCAAAAATTGATTTGCGATCAGGGTACCATTTGATTAGGGTGGCGGCCTGCGAGATCCACAAGACTGCATTCCGAACCCCGAATGAGCATTATAAGTTTATATAGATGCTATTTGGATTGACTAATGCACCGATTACATTTCAATCGATAATGAACAACCTATTCAAGCTATTCTTAAGAAGATTTGTCTTGGTTTCTTTAACGACATGTTGGTTTAAAATGAGACACGGGAGGAGCATCAAAAGTATTTGATGCAAGTTTTTCATATTTTGAAGGACAAAAAAATTAAGACAAATCGAAAAAATGGTTCATTCAGAACTCTAACGGTAAGGTATTTTGGCCATACTATTTCAGCAAAAGAGATTGTCATGGATCCAACAAAAGTGAGCGAAATGGTGGACTAGCCCCGACCCCACTTGATCAGTAAAGTGTGGGAATTTTTGGGACTAACTGGATATTACCAACAATATGTGCGAGGATATAGCATTCTAGCTCAGCTGTTGACTGCATTATTAAATAAAACTGCTTCTCCATTATTCGAATTGACACCGAATGCGGAGACTGCTTTTTCTAACCTTAAATGGGTCTTGAACGAAGCCCCAATATTAGCCATGCCTCAGTTTGATCGTCTTTTTGTAATCAAATGCGATGCTTCCGACACAAGAATTAATGTTGTTTTGATACATAATCTACACCTTATTGCCTATTTCAGCCAATCGCTAGCTGACCAAACTCTGACGAGATTCGCATATGAACGTGAATTGATGGATCTTGTATTAGCAATGCAACATTGACATCCTTACTTGATGGGACATAAATTTTTTGTTCAAAGTGATCACCGCCAGCCTCAAGCATTTACTTTCTTAAGGGATTGTGAAACCTTCGCAGTACATTTGGGAAGAGAAGCTTTTGCATTACGACTTTAAAATTGAATATAAATTAGGAATTTAAAATGCCGCCGCAGATGCACTATCCTGTAAGAATGAAGATGGAACTTTCCCAACATTGAGTAGGCCAGATTTAATGGAACTGATGGATGCATTGGTAGAACAGAGCCATGATGACTACATCAAGGCATTGTGCAGACAGTATTACAACAACCGAATAGTCCAGGGTAATGAAGTGCAAGGTGGTTGATTATTCTATAAAAGGCGTCTGGTGCTACTTCCAAATTTGCACTGGATTATGTGTTTTTTACATGAGTTTCATGATATCCTTTTAGTTGAGCATGAAGGGGCATTGCGAATATATAGACATTTGACTATGAATGTACATTGGAGAGGCATGTTCTGGCATGTACAAGAATATGTAGCGCAATGTTTAGTGTGCCAGGAGGCAAAATATCAAGCTATGTCTCCGGCGGGTTTACTACAATGCCTACCGATACCTCATCAATTTTGGGAGGATGCTCCATGGATTTTATCACTTGTTTGCCGAAGTCACGAGGATACACAACAATCATGGTGGCTGTGACAGACTATCAAAGTATGGACATTTTGTAACCTTGAAACTACTAGTGACTGCCCGTACAATTGTAGAGGAATTCGTCTGCGAGATTGTACGACTGCATGGCTTTCCACGATCTATTGTCGGTGATCGTGACCTTTTATTTGTTAGTGTCTTCTGAAAGGAACTATTTATACGCTCTGGAACCTAAATGAAATTCAGCTCAGCATACCGTCTTGAAACAAACGGCCAAAAAGAGGTATTGAACCGGGTGGGGGAGATGTATTTATGTTTATCTACTTGTGAACAACCTGAAGAATGGGTGCGGTGGCTACCGTGGGAAGAATTTTGGTACAACACCTTATAACCAAACGGCATCCCGGATGTCCCCACTTGAGGCAGTCTATGGGAGAAAATCGCCCACCATTCAATGATTCTTGTCGGGGGAGTGTTAGATGGCAGCGGTGGCAGATGTGTTCGGCAGTTGAAATATGATGATCAACCTTCATAAGAAAAACCTAGAGCATACCCAACAACAAATGACCAAGTATATGAATAAGCAACATAAGGTTGTAGAGTACGCAGTAGAAGATTGTGTTTTTCTTAAGGTCCGGTCCCATCAACAGACATTTGTAGCACAACGACCGTATTAAAAGTTAGTTGCCCACTTCTATGGCCCTTTTGTAGTAGAAGATAGGGCGGGCTTAACACCATACAAGCTTACCTTACCGCCATCTAGCTGGATTCACCAAGTATTTCATGTATCTCAGTTGCGATGCATGGTAGAAGAGCATCCCGTGGAGTCAGAATTACCAGACCGCTTGGAGTGCCATTAAGTCTAACCTTTGAACCTGACTCTTAACTTGGGGAACACAGTGAAAATAAAATTCTAATTAAATAGGTGGGACAGCTAGACGATGAGGCGACTTGGTTGAGTGTAGCTCATTTCCGGCATCAGTTTCCGGACTTTGACCTTGAGGACAAGGTGAATTCGAAGAGGAAAGGAATTGATACAAAACAACACCAAGATAAGTAAAGAATTGAGATGCAAGAGGAAGAGGTGTCTTGCCCATTACTGGTGTATCGACGATGGAGATGGGCTTAGACCTGCTATTCACGGATTTAGACTTATTTATTTATCTTTTTATTAAGACATTATAATTGGATTGAGCTTGGACTTTTGATTATTAGATGAGCCTTGTTTATTCTCACTAAGTAGGGTTAGCAGAGTATTTAAAAAAACATCTAAAGTTTGAAAATATTATTATTGATTTGGAAAAATAAAGAACTCGGTGGCTTTTGGCTTTTTGACAAACGGTTAATTCCATTTGATTATTTCCTATTGCTTGTTTTTGTCCTCTAACACTCCCTCACTCGAACACAACATTAATAATTGTTATCTAACAAATAGATAGATATTGGCCATGAAGGTGGCCAAAATTTGACCTTACTATTACAATTACAATTACAACTACAGCAACACATTACTCAATATGGGGGTGGGTGGGTGTGATAATATCAACACATGACATGGATACACACAAACAATAACAATAGAATAGCAGTATTACATTACTAGTACTGCTTCAACTACACACACAAAACTGAGTTGACAAGAAACACAACATCAGCTTGGAAAATGAAGAACAAGAACAAGAACAACAATCAATGAATGAATACGAGTCTGTACACAATTACAATAACAATTACAAATCCCATCATCACTCACCTTTTCTTCATCCCTTAGAAAGCAAAGAACCTCTTCTTCTTTTTTTTCTTCTTTTCCAAGTAGGCTACAAGATCCTCCTGTTTCGCCAACACTGCCTCCAGCTTCTGCGCAACACATCACATCAATTAATTAGTCGAACAATTAATATCCATCACTTTCATCCATGCAAGGAAGAATACCTTTTTGGTGTCCGAAAGCTCTTGCTCCAATGCATCGACGCGGTTCAAGGCATTCTTCAGCATCTCCTCTTTCTCAGCCGGCATCGATGGCGGCTTCTTGGTCAGAACGCTCACTCTCTCCTCCAGCTCGTTCACGCGCTTCATCATGATGAAGTAATCCTCGCTGGAGATGGCGGTGTCGGAAGTGCTGTACGGATGTCCCTGTCCTTTCACCATGTCGTCGCCGTACATAGAAGTGGAATAGAAGGTGGAATCCGTCAGTGTCCTTGGCATGTTGCGTGTCATGCGAACCATCGTAACAATACCCATCACAAAGGTCATAACTCCACTAAAGATCTGGTTGCTGAGTCCATCTGATGAACCCTTGCATCCTTTCTCTGCTGCATGCAAGTAAACTGAAGGTACAATGAGACAGAACAATGGAATCAAATCCCACCCCGATATGATCAATTCATGTTCTTCTTAATAATAATAATAATAATAATAATAATAATAATAATACACCTGAATGAATCGCGTCGCACTATGAAGATGGCCTAGTCCACTTGTTTGGGTACCACAAAAGCACATAGTTTGCTAGTTAAAATTAAACTCTGGACATGCTAGTCGAAATGCATGTTTTACAACAATCATACTTAGTTAAAATAAAAATATATTTACTGCAGGTTTGTTCTTCCACAATTCCCCATAAATATATTTTTTCAAAAAATTAATATATTACATAATTATTCTTTTTATATTATTTACACAATTCCATATATCTTACATAAAAATATTTTTTTCCAAACAATCTCACTAAACAAACACACCCTGCATGTCTTCAGAGAAATAATAAGTTACACAACCAATTCTCTTCGTAAATAAATAAAAATCACTAAATTCTACTGGGGAGATATGTAATTGGTATTAAGAATAGGATATGTACCTTCTTATAAAGGACTAAACCGACTATAAATACTCTTTTATATTAAAAAATCAAGAAGTTCTTGAACCGAAACACATAAAGAACCGTTTTCTAAAATTTGCATGTACCTTTTGGTAGCGGAAAGATTTATGAATTAGTAAATTATAAGAATATATATATGTACCTTTCGGAGGAACTTGGCTGTAGTATTCAGTTTTTTTCCATTTAGTAGTAGTAGTCATGGGCTTGTCAACTATGGACACGCACTCATTGGATTCACATACAATAGGGTTGTTGCTGGTTACCTGAGAAGAAAACGTTACTGAGTGCATTTTAGATCCTTTTCACGTGTAGGGAAGTGAGTTAGATTGTAACTTCAATCATAGATATTGAAGAACATGAGAACTTACAATACAGTTTTTAACAGCAGCTTCTTCTCGAACAGGAGAGAGTGGGGTATGAGTGAATGTTTGCCCATCTGCCTTTTCATCCACAACTGCAACGATAACTTTGTTCGAGCATTTATGTGCACCATTGCGTACCATCTTGCAATGAAATGGACATCTTCAACATTTGAGATAAAAACTAGTAATACAACCAGAATAATATAATCTCAGCAATTATATAAAGAAAATCAGTTTCCTTCTCTTGAATGTAGGTACATACATACATCCCTAAATATATCTCGATTTCATCTTTATTTGCTAGGAATCTATGTTGCTGGTTGTATGGTACCCGTAGCAACCCCTAACAAACATATTAATCTCCCATAATGTTAAGTATGACAGTGCATGGATAGGCTACTACCAATGACCAATCTGTTTGGTGTCAAACCACTGGATGCCGACATATGTGACCCATCCAAGGTTTTACAGAACTCACTAGACATGGGCCCATTCCAGCCCTCTATGCAATCCAAATATACAATACAAAAATATTTCAAAAAAATAAATAATAATAATAATAATAATAATAATAATAATAATAATAATAAATAAATAAATAATTTAGATATGTTACAAAAATAGGGGTTAGAGAATATTGAGATAAATAGATTGTGATTTACTACTTCTATGTTTTAGGATTTTATTTTTCGATACTTTAAACAAGAATCCAAGCCTAACCCAATAAATACTCTTTCCGACTACTAACATTATGGTTAGCTATCCTCTAAACTCATACTATTATATTAAACGATTTTATACACCCAAAATTTAATTACATTCAATTTAACAAATAATAATAATAATAATAATAATAATAATAATTTGTCAATTTTTTTTTTACATACCCATCAAATTTTTATTATTTTCTAAATAAACACCACCACTTTTCGTTTTACCTACTCCACTTTAATATTAATCCATTATTATCTCTTAATCTTCACACCTCATCAAACTTACATAATTTCCTTTGAAGAAAGGAGTATCTTTTTATTAGGCTGGACATCCAAATAATTGACCTGACTCTTGTAGTGTGAGGTCTTGGGTCTACACTCAGACAGACAGATGCCATCCCTAGATCCTAGTCCTAGATGGTGATTCACCGGACAATAAAAGAAGCATGAAATTTTTGTAAAGACTACCAGTAAAATGTAAATATAACCAACCTTCATGATGTCCGGATCATTCCAAGGGCCCTTATCAGCAAGCATGCAGCCTCCCTTATCTGCACAGGTGCAGGTACCACCCAAAAAATCTGGTAGCTCACTGATGCAACACAAAAGTAACAGAAACTAATACACACTACTCCTGAAAGGATAGCTCTAAATTCAATTCAGTGATTCTTATCACGTTTATATTGCAAGACCTGGAAATTTTACCTAGCATCGATGACCTCAAGCAACTTGCTCTGGTATTTGTTACCCAAAACCTGGTGAAAGGAAACATTCATACAAACTTAATCAGACATACCTGAGTCTTGAGGTCTGTTAAAAAAGCTGAGTGTAACTTAACTTACATGTATCTTAGCAGTAGTCTTTGGATCAAGGAAAGACTTAACAGTGTTCCACAAGAGCCTAAACCCAGACCCTGCATTGATGATGTACATCCGGCAAAGGGTCTGATAGAAAGGGAAACTGACGGATCAAACAAATGAGCTGCGACACTAATTCTGATAAACAAACATGAGATTTAATGAGAGAAGTTTGTACCTCGGGATAGTTATCACCATCGATCTTCTGGAGGCGTTGAACTAGTTCCCTAGCAGATTTAGTGAAATTTTTAAGCCCCTGAACCAAAAAGCATGAATTTTATGAAAGTAAGCCAAATCCATATATCAGTATTTCCATGGAATCTGTGGCATTTGATCAGCATTTGGATCTTTATAGCTACAGCCAAGAACATAAAATATGATAATGTTCCTTTATTGGGCCAACATGTTTAATATAAAAAGAAATTGTTTGTTGTGTTCCGTTACTTCAAAAGTTTTCAAAATACTTAAACCAACCAAACATATGGATTAGACAAAAGTAACTAATTCTAATCATTATTGCTATTTCTTATTGTATTATCTAATAAATACATATCTTTACTCTATAAAAAATATAGGGTGTGTTCTTCTTGTAAAAAAAGAAAATACTTTTTTTTTTCCATAAAACTAATATATTACACATATTTATTATTTTTATATTAACTACACACTACACATTTCTCTGTACCTCACACAAAAAAATATCCCCACGCACCTATAAAAACAATTGAATCAAATATCTACACATAGAAGATAAATATTAATATTAAAGTCAATGAAAGAGCTTACTATTTCACAAGCAAAACACAAAGTCAGTGCAAAATAAAATGAACAGAAATTAAGCAGAGGCAAATGTTTAGTTAAAAACACCATTATATATCCACATTCAGCAACGAAAAATTCCTCCTTACCACTCCTTGGACATCTAAAATGGTAGTACTTTGGTCAATGTGCTTTTTGGCAGCAATGGAGCATGCTGGGAACTTTTCGATGAATGTCCTCTCGAACTCCTGGACATGGTATTTAAGATAGCGATCCATTGTAGTGGCTTGCATGAGCTTGGTTGGATCGACCAAACCGAGTCTCTCAATGTAAACAGGTCTACCTTCCTTGTCAACGCCATGATGCCCTTGTGGGTAGTATTTAAGAACCTCATCTTTCTCCTTGAAATCAAAGTCCTGGCAAAGTTACACGGGCAAAGTGGTGAAAATCTAGTTTCACTTTTTTTGGCTACATTTCCAAATCTATAGGAACAGAAAATTAAAAACCTCCATAATAGTGTCAGCACCAAAATCCTTCCTCCATTGAATCATATCAGCCCACATTTGCTTTGTTTTCTCAATGTCAGATCTTCTGGCCTTCAAAAACCTGCATCATCACATGATTAATTGCACACTGACCTTACCTTATCATTAATGGAGATTTAGTGGGTGTTTGGTTCATGCATTAGAATTGGAAAGATTCTAGCAGGATCAACACATGGACAAAATAATTAGCATTGGAATCAGCCGTTCATTAATTCCATATATACCAAACGGCTGTTATACTCGCCCCAACCTCCAACAACAGCTATTGATATTACCCTGTCACAAAAGTTCTTTTCAAATAATCTTACAATCACCAGATTAGGAGTCCTTGAAATAAAGTTTATTCAATTCCTTTGCGGGCATACTCAAGTATGGCATACTGCAGGAGAGAGAGGGAGAGAAACAGAGAGGGATAGTTACCTTAGAAGCATATGATAGTCATCATATTTAGCAGGCAACAGTTCTTCCAGAATAAGTGCTTGACGCAACGCATCAACAGCTCGTGTTTCCTCAGAATCATGCTCATCATCAAAGTCCACAGACATCACTCTGCTGTTTCGGCGGCTTTTTTTAGTTAGAGAGTGTCTGAATTTTGTAGAAGCGCTTATTGCCACCTTCTTGAGAGATCCCAGCCTTGTTCGCTTCTCATCATCCAACACATCAATATCCATTTTCTCCAGACCTAAAAACAAAATTCAAACAATAAGAACCTCCACATCTGAATATGTTGTTTAAACAGAGGCACAGAGTTATTTTACGCAGGATCTCAAATCACCATAAATATCTTACAACAATCACTAGCAATTTTATTTCAAATTATTATATAAGATTTCTAACTTCTGCTTGTTTTGATTTGCTAAGCTTTTGAACGAGCAGTTCTTTAACTCATTCAAGCTCTAGGCCTTACTTTATAGCAATATAAATGTCCTGCAATTTCATGCGAAGCCAACTATTCATAAGTACAGATTGATCATGAGAATATAAACCATCAAGGTTGAAATTCATCATAATCTTTAGAGATTTCAAAAGAATCATTTCATCCACTAAAATCTTCCCCCCCCCCACCAACTCAGTTCCAAAAATCCAAACATTTCGCACACTTGCATCATAATATGTTTGATATATTGGCACATATTATTTGTGTGCCTTTGCATAAACGCACATCCACATTAGATATTGCATACTAGACAGCTACTACAGATAACGTAAATCGGCTTATGCTATGTTCATCACAATTACCAATATATTCAAAAAGAAACTGGAAAAACAGCTTCGCACAAACATACATACATATATATATATATATATAGAACACTTACTTGCTCTAATTTGGCGTGGATGATCGCTCATGGTTGCAGCTGCCCCTTGATCACTTCTGAATCCGAGATAATTCACCTACAAACATTAATACCAATCAGTTCAACTTTTTAACATAATAACAAAAAATTAATAAAAGAAGAAGCTTCACACACACACATGTATATGTATATATCCAAGTGGATTGAGACAGATAAACAGTTGGGAGATATCTAATATACTTCAGAAGAATGCCGCGAAGCAATAAATTCTTGGCATTTCAATACAAACAAACCAACAAGACAACATTTTAACCTAATCAATGACACTAATTCCACCACAGCAGTTCAAATTCGCAATATTGTTCAAAACACTAAAGTAAGGAACAAAATACTCAAAATTAACCAACAACTTCCTCACGGGAAAGAAAAAAAACAGAGAGAAAAGGCAAGAAAGAAGAAAAACCTAATTGCATCGATAGAAGAAACACGAATGGCCAACACATGAGGGAATATTAATATGACGATGACACCTCATTTCAATTCAATGGCCGGCCATTATTTCTTCGCCCCCACTGGAATCAATGGCTGCCTGTTATTTGGTCAATCGTTCCTAAAACCCTCTCTGAAGACAGAAAAAAAGTTAAAAAATAAAAAAATAAAAAAAAAAAAATCGTCTGTGTGCCGATCATAGCGGCGAGAATCGAGCGCGCAGAGATTGTCGGACTGGTTCTCGTTCACTGAAACATTTTTAGCCATTGATAGTTTGCAGCTGAATTTTGGGGGAAAGATTTTGTGCGTAGTGCGGAGCACACCTTTCGGAGGTGCTCCCCATTTAGAGAATTCAATATTACAAAATTATATACCTAACGGTTGAGGAAGCTAGGCTATCAACTTCCGACCGTTGAAAAACATATTCTTTGCTGTATAATTAATAGACTTTATATATATATATATATATATAATTCTGGTACGGGGTTGATATTATAAAAAATAATCAGATATCTTAAATTTATATTGGTTATTCAATTTAATTCGATCGTAAATTTTTATCAAGGGTATTTTTTTTAAAAAAAATATATAATTGAATGGTTATTAATTAAAAAATTTAACTAGGCTAACTATATTAGTTACATTCAAAAATTTAATTTTACTTGAAATTTAAAAACACCTGTAATTAACTACTTTTCAAAATCTGTAAACATTCAAAGCAAATAATATATGCAATTGTCACAGATAATGTTACACTATTACGATGTTTATTATAAAATGTTTTATATATATGATTTACTGTAATGATATTCAAATAAACTCAATATGATGTAACATTTCAATTAGCGCCTATTATTGTTCTCAAGCAATTTTTTAATTAAGATAATAAATCAACTATATGTTAAATAAATTAATTTTTTCCCCAAACTAACTCCTTATTTTTACCCAAATCTTAATTTTACCACGCAACTGTCGACAATCATCTCACCCTTCTCCCTTCGCTGCATCCATCGACCACGCCCGTCATCTTCGACATCATCACCGACCCGTGCCTGCCGCCGTTGACACCCTCACGCCGTCGATCCCTTTTTCCATTACACCTTACTTACAATCTATCTTCCAATGGCAGAAACAATGAAGCTAAATCTTAACCATCAATTAAACCCAAGATAATGAGAAGCAAGCACATTCAAGTCTCTTGTGTGCCAAGGGAAGTAGCGGATTTCAATAATGAGAAGTTGTTTTGGCCAAGTGGCGACTCCCCAAGGTATTTCATTAGAGGTACATGTTTTAGGGGATTCTTATTTGTCGATCCCATGTTTATGAATATCGATTTGATTTTGAAATTGATAAGTTATTGGGATGTTGGTCGTAATTAATTTTTGTTTTCGAATGGGAGGGAGTGGCTTCTGATGGTTTATTATTGAAGTCAACTCTACTGCCTTTTTTGTACTATCATATTATTGCACGTGTTGGAGATTATTTTTCGCCCATTTTTATATTTGTTTTAACACTGAAAATTCTCGTCTATGTGGATATTTACAAGATGACTTGTATGTATCATCGAAGTACGAAAAAGATGCATTGGTTCAATATCATTCACCTGGTAAATCAAATGATATACGACGTTATAAAATATGTTGTTTACAGTGCTATACTATAGTTTACGAATTATAGTATTATGTTGTCGTTTCAGCGCGAATATCGTGTAATTAAATTATTTACTTTCTTTTTTTTTATCCAATATATGACGAGATAATTATTCTATGTATTTTTTTTCATTATTTCAACGCCCCTAAAAAACGCATAGAATAACTATCTCATCATATTTTGCATAAAAAAAAAAGAAAGAAAGAAAGTAGTGATTTAATTATACAATATTTGTGCTAGAGCGACAACATAATATTATTTTTTTGTAAACCATAGTATAGTACTATAAACAGTATATTTTATAACATTGTATATCATTTTATTACTCAGGTGACAGTTATTGGATAAATACTTCTTTTTTTTTTTAGCTCCGACGATGTGTACATCATATTGTAGATATGCGCATAGACGAGAGTTTTTCGTGTGAAAACCAATGCAAAAATAGACGAAAAATTAATCCTCAACACATGCAATACATTCCCTATTGCTGTAATAAGGAGAGTACATAAAAGGCAGTAGAGTTGACCTCAATAATAAACAATCAAAACTCACTCCTCCAAAACTCACTCCTCCTCGTTCAAAAACACCGAACACCTAACTGAGTCACATAAAGTATGTATCTCTAATAAAATACCCTATGGAGTCGTTGCTTGGCAAAAATAGCTTCTCGTTATTAAAATCCATGACCTTCCTCTGCAGACAAGTTTGCTTCTTATTATCTTGGGTCTAATCAATGATTCCGGATCTCACTTTGTTGCTTCCACCATTGGACGATCGATTTTACGGGAAGTGTAAATGCAAAGAGGATCAACGGAGCGCGGGCGTCAATGGAAGCGGATGCGGCTAACGATGTCGAAGGCAGCGGGTGCAGCTAGCGTGGTTAATGTAGGGAGGCGAGGGAGAAGGGTGAGATGGTTGTTAACGGCTACATGGTAAAATTAGGATTTAGGTAAAAATGGGGGTTGGGTTTAGGGAAATGACTAATTTATTTAACATATACTTTGATTTATTACCTTAATTTAATAATAATAATGATAATAATTGATTATAATTTAACACTCTAAATAACATATATATATATATATAGATATTCCATATATCATTTGTATGTATTTGTTAATTACGGAAGAAATATTAGATTAATTTTTATTGATAAATATGTAAAATATTTATATAAAGAATGTTCTAAAAATAATACATAAATACATAATTAAAATAAGAATAATGAAGTTTTTCCAAAAATTATTTGTGCTAATTAAGGCTAGATTTGATTAATTAGCAAATATTGTATTTTAGGAAATATAAAATCAAATTTATCTCATTATAGTAAATAATTCATGAGTTGAAATGTTGCATCATATTGGTTTATTTGAACATCATTACATTAAATTATCTACATAGGGCATTTTATAAAAATAAAAAAATAAAAAAATAAAAAAAAAAAAATCATAATTGTATTAAAAAGATAATTGTATACATTATTGTACTTTGAGTATATACGATTTTAAAAATAATTAATTGTAAATGTTTCTAAATATTAAGTAGGATTAAGATCCTAAATATAAGGGAAGTAGTTAGCACAATTATTTTTTTCTTAAATAAGGACAATTGAATTATTTTTTAAATACCCAAAATACTCTCAATTAAAATTAACTGTTGGATTAAAAATAAAAATGATCGGATGGCCAATATAAATTCAAGATCGATGATTTGATTTTTTTTGTAATGTGAGGGTCATACTAGCGGCCATATACATACTTCCTCCATCTGTCTCTAAGGGTCTATTTACTTTTGTGTTATTGTACTTAACATTAAAAATATATTTATATTTTGTATAATTTTTTTGTACAAATGTCTTTCTATTAGTATTATAAAATACTAATGAAAGTATATTTGCAATTTTTTCTTCATTTTTACTATGATTTGATATCATAATTAATATTCAAAGATCAATATAGAAAAAGTAAATAAGAACCTTGGAGCTGGACGAGTAGTATATTTTTTAAGGCTCTATGACTCACCTTACACCATACTATATTTTTAATTTATTTTATTATTTTAAACATTTTTTATTGGTTAATATTAAAGTGAGTCATTATATATATTGTGAGGTAATTGGTTCAAATTCCGATGCCTTCAGGTCTTTTATGTCATACATGGTTCGTCTAGTGTGACTTGTCTTATCGGACCTAGTTTGCAGGCTATTAAGTTCGACCGATGATTTACCCAAAATGCATCCGAAGGATAGCCACCGTGAGTTCTCACGTTATCATAAAAATAATATAATAAAAATAATGGGTTGGATTATTTTTTGGGATATATACATATTAATAATAATAAATTATACTATTATTTTTATACAATATAGTACTCTGTCCGTTCCAAAAAATTTGTCTTGTTTTTCCATTTTCGTCCATTCCAAAACAATTGTCTTGTTTCCTTATTTAGTAGCCGTGGTCCCCACTTTATAATAAAATTATTCATACTTTTTCATACTATCTCTAATTATTACTCTAATATACTCTTTAAAATTCTTCAAAAAGCAAGGGCACTTTAGTCATTTACATTCTACTTTATACTCACTTTCAATTAAATATTATTATTCTTTAATTCTCGTGCCAACTATCAATAAGACACTTCTTTTGGGACGGAGAGAGTATAATTTTATATTTTTTATATACCAAATTTTAAGTTACAATTTGCAATGCTCCCTCTCTAATATTTGCAAGGGTTATAATCTCTCACATTCTCCCTCACAATCCTAAAAGTCGAATGTTTAAGACGGTAAATTTGCAAGGGACTCATAATCCCTCGTAATATCTTTCGCTACAATAACGAGATATATGTATTTTCTCGTCATATGTCTAGTAAATTGTACAAATTTGCTAGAATTTGAGCCTTCGCAAATTCTCCTAACAAAACTTATAACTAGCAATCGTTTGCACCTCCTAAAATTCTTTGCAAATTGGCGTAGAAAGAAATTGGTTTCATATAGTTGTAGCATTCCTTTGCAAAAATCAAAAACTAATTGCAAATAGTTTTGGATTGTATTTTGCAAACCTTTTCTTCCTATGATTTTGAAATTTTTTTTCTGAGAATGAAATTGATTAGTACTAGTATTCGATAAAAATAAATTATAGATAAAACAATATAAAATTCAAAAGTGATTTATGAAAATTGCATAAAATTTTGTATTATTTAAAAATTATGTCAAATTCTTTTATAATTTTAGACAAAGGTCGATATTTTTACACAAATGAATGAAACTCAAGACCTCACCATTATAAATCTATATTCACACACCAAACTATATTTTTTATTTATATATTCATGTGCATCATATATGTTATATATATATATATATAATTTATACATATATAAGATAAATATATAATGAGACCCTATATTGGGCCTGGGCAGAAGTCTTTCTAGTTCGAGGCCGGGCCGGCCTCGTAACTGAAATGTAAATTTTTTTTAAGACATAAAGAAATCTAATGCAATTTATTAGAATATTTTGATACTTTAAATAAATATTTTTAAAAATAAAATAATATTATATAATAATTTGTTCTTAAAATATTTAATTTTATATTTTGTTTAAATTTTATTTTTATCATAATTAAAATAACTAAATTAC